TTTTTTTCTTTTTTTTTGGGGGGGGGGGGGGGGGTTATCATGTTTTTGGTCTAAAACTAAGATTAAGATTTAACTTTAAAGTGTTATTGGTTATCTAGGATTATGATTAGAACTAGAATTTCAAAATATTAATCCCAATCTTTATATCTTCTAATAAGAAAATTCCAGAGAAAATTTCAAGTCTAAAATTACATGTTTGTAGTGTCTTTCCAAGTCTAAACTTATAAGTTTATAATCCCCTCCACTGCTTAATTGGTTCTACATTTAAGAAACATATTTCTTACTTTTCAATTTGACATTTATAATTCTAGTTTCTTGTAGGACCTCATATCTAGAATAGTATAGGATATAGAAATATAGTGGAAATGCCAAATACAATGCTTTCTCTATTCTCTAGAATGTTTAGGGTATATATCTGAACTTTGGGCAATTTTTAGGGCTAGAAAATGTTGGAATTAGCTTGAATTGGAAAAGAGAAATTTGATCACATGAGTTTTCTAAATCCATTTTTCCATATTTTTGAGAAAATTAATTTTGACTAAACTGCTTCAGCAATTTGCCCAAATTGAACCCAGTTCCCAACATATAGGACCTAAGTTCTACAAAATCAAGTTTTACTATATCCTTTTAGATCTAGAGTTTTAGAGGAAAGAGGCTAGGACTTTTGAGACGATCTACTCTAATTCTTGGGAATTTTTCATTGATCACGCAAGGTTCTCACTAGGATAAAGATCTTCTACATCCTTAGTCGTAGAGAAACTCTACAATTCACTAATTGAATTTCCTCACTCGGTGTACCCAATGGAGCCGGGATTCTCTACTTGGTTGTACATAATGCCTATAATTGATTAGGTGGGTTATTACTATTGGTTCATCTAAGTGGGGGCTACAAAAAAAATTTATATAATTTAGATAACTTATATCATTCATGGGTCCAATGAATGAGAATATTTAATTTGTTGGTTGAAGGCATTCTGTACAACCAAGGATGTAGAGAATATTTAAATAATGAATGATCTTAATTATTTAAATTTTATAAAAATATTTAATTATGGGATTGTAAGCGTCGAAATGCTCAGCGTGTATATTTTGTCAAAAAAATTCAAAGTGGTGCTAGTATCCATCAGAGAAGTAATAATATTTGAGTAGGCTCTCTTCTTGACCAAATCGTATCACCAATATCAAGAAGAGTAGAGCAATCTCTACATATTTACTCCTTAGATACATATTAGAATCACTTTGTTTGTAAAAAAATTGTGAGGTGCATGCTTCCAGAAATTTATTTATTTCTGTTAATTACTCTTGTTAAAAGAAACCCTGATTAGTAGAAAGCAAATAATTAAATAGATATTATGAATTAAATGTAGAGAAATATTAATTTTATTATCTTTCTAATGTATTACAAAATTTAAGAGAAAGAAGATGAGATGTTGGGTCTCCATACAATGTTCTGGAGCCCTCCTCCCTTTCAATATAAAAAATGCAGAGGACCTTGTCATTGTTATTTTAAATTCTAAGTCTCTCTTTGTCTTCAATCTCTCTGCCTTTTATCTATCTTTTCTGTTGTTCCTTTTTTCTCCTTCTCCCTCGAATCGCAAATGAGGTCTCAATTTATAGGAAGACAAAGGGGAAGTTATCGCCAGGCATTTAAAATGGATTGATGGGGGAGTTATTATAACTTTCTTATTGAAACTTTCTTATCAAGATTGTTGCATTCATTTATCATAACGAACATTTCCTTTGCCTTTCACTTCTCATTTATCTATCAGCTTATCTCTTTTTTTATTTCTTAAAACAGGTGTTGTGTGGAGCCTATATACCTTCAAGCTGAAATTAGGTGTGTATGGTGAGTATCATCGAGTTAGATTTTATTGCTAAGACTTATGATCATATGATAACACCAATATATCAAAATTGACATTCACCTTCAAGTTTGAGAATTTGGTTAATATGAAGGGGTGAGGCATGTGTTTTTTTCTAAATGATTAATAGAGGGTACATGTACTCTCAAACTTACATGAGGTGCTGTCATCCTCAACTTGATTTTTAATTATATGAGGTATTACCCCTCACATTGATTTTGATTTATATGAAGTACTATCCCTTACATTAAGTTTCATTAATGAGGTTTGTTGAGCTCATCAAATTTGACAACTACAAGGGAAAGACGTGCCTCTCTGAATTAATTGATATGGAGGGCTTACCTGCATTAGTTTAGATTTATATGAAGTATTATCTCTCATATTGGTTTTATTGACAAGGCTTGTTGAGCTCTTAAACTTTGATAAGTACAAAGAGAAGGTGTGTCTCTCTAAAATAATTAATACGGAGGGCCTACCTTCATATGTTTAAATTTATATGAGATACTATCTCTCACATTAGTTTTTGATTATTATGAGATACTATCTCTCATATTAGTTTTGATTTTTTATGAGGTACTATCATCCTTACAATAAGTTTCATTTATAGGGTTTGTTGAGCTCATCAAATTTGACTACTATAAGGGGAAGACGTGCCTCTTTGAATTAGTTGATATGGAGGGCTTACTGTCATTAGTTTAGATTTATATGAAATACTATCTCTCATATTGGTTTTATTGACAAGGCTTGTTGAGCTCATCAACTTTGATAAGTACAAATGGAATGTGTGTCTCTCTGAAATAATTAATGCGGAGGGCCTACCTTCATTGGTTTAAATTTATTTGAGGTACTATCTTTCACATTAGTTTTTAATTTTTATGAGGTACTATCTCTCATATTAGTTTTGATTTTTTATGAGGTACTATCATCATCATAATAAGTTTCATTTATAGGGTTTGTTGATAAGAAAAAAATTGTTTGTCTACAAATTGCCCCCCTTGGCTTACGTGCTCGGTTTTTTTTACCGAGTGTGTGAGCCCAATTTTTTTGTTACTATTGTGCTATGACATTTTTTTGGTTTTAAAGGCTTAGGATTAATTTATTTAATTCAAATATAAGGAGTCCTTATCTAATAAAAATTACTAAATTAGTAAGAGATAGAATCTGATTTACAAGGTAATGTCAACAAATTTTAAAATAGAATCTCAACAGAATTTGAAAAGAAAATCTAATCCTACCACAATTAGGCTTCACATAGCTATATATATATATATATATATATATATATATATATATATAGTATATATATATATATTAGTATATATCATATATTATATAGTATATATAATATAGTATATCATATATACCTGTATATATATATATATATATATATAATATATATATACTATATATTATATGTACTAGTTATATACTCAATATATATAATTATATAGAGAGAGAGAAGAGAGAGCAGAGAGCAGAGAGATGAGGAGTGGAGTTTTTCCTTCGGACTGCGGAAACGTGGAGTAATTTTCACACAGCCAACGTGCGAAAAACGAGTTGAGGCCGTTGGATTTTCATGTAACGGCTGTGACGGTATTTTGCCATTGCTCGTGACCCCTCTATTCCCCAGACTGCACACCCTCTCTCTCTCTCCCAAACCCTCCTCCGCCTCTACCCTAAACCAGTTTTGCCATCTTGTGACCCTATTCCCGCAGACCCTCACCTCTCTCTCTCCTCAAACCCCCTTCTCTCCCCCTCTCCTTTCTCATGCAGCCCAAGTAAGCCGCCACCGACCACATCCGACTGCCGACCTCCTCCTCCCAGGGCCGACCCTACCCTTAGGCAATAAGGCGTTGCCTTGGGCATCGTTTTGGCGATAGGGCCCCATCCCCAATCCGATCTACTATAGT